CAGAGTTTATGGGAGACGAATTATCCGCTGATTCTGAAGCTGAATACGATTACAGCCAAAGGTAAGTGTGAAATCCATTGTTACTAAGAAGGAGGATCCGTACCAAGTAGAGCTACAGTAAACGACATCATATGGATCTTTTATAACCAGGAAAATGATATGTTCCAATAAAAGTGCTATTATGTCCCGCTTAAATCTGATTCGAGTGGATTTTCGATTTAAATTAAAATAAACAAAACATAAAAGCAAACTTAACGATAAGGGCATCTTTAGTGGCGATCCAATTGGTTGGTTTGGTCTAAAATTTTGGAACAGACCCAGACCGAGTCCTTGCACTGGTGGTCTATATTTTGTTTTAGACTAGTTCTAAAATGTAATTTTTTTAAACCAGTATAATTCTCGATCTATTTTGAACTGAATTTGGATCAAGGCAAGCACTGTTCCAAACTAGTTTGACAGCTGTCGCGCTCGAGATTTTGTTTTGTTTTGTTTCGTTGTTGGGGTTTTTTCAGCAAAACAAACCGATTTAGTTCCTAGATTTTCTAAGAAACGGGCGGAACAATCGACTGCTGTTGACATTGGTGTAGTTCCAGCTCTATCGCGCTATCGGTGCTGCTGTTGCTGCCGGCCCTGTCGTCGCAGCTGCGAAAGGATCACAAGGGAGACATCCGGACGCTTCTGTTCTGCAGGATTTTCCGGGCATGTTCTGGAAACTCCCAGGGAAATGGCCAGTTTCTGATTCAATCCAAAACCCATCATGCGCCACATAGCAAATCACATTAGATTTCAAAACCAAGATCAATGGAAGTCAAATATAGTGTCCAGATCCACATTGGCCACATGCAAAGCCGAAAATAGAACATGTAACGAAAATATGAAAGATTTTGAACATTAATAACTCAGCTGCAACTAGAGCAATTTCAATAATATTATCGAAAATAAATCAATCGAACAGAAATATTTTTACGCATCTATTAAAATTAAGGCTCTATCATTTTACAAAATGTCACTATTGAAAATTGCACGAATGTGCAACTGTTGCTATGATAATTAAAATTATCACCGAATGTCTGCGAAAAGTGATTTCCCTAACACAGATTTCAAAGTTGAATTCCGTCCGGTCTCATCGAACGGTGTATATTCAATCACGGCGTGATGAGTGGTGGTGAAAGGCTTCCTGCAAGCAGCTAGCTATAAAGGCTGCCCTCAACCGCTGATCGGATTCGGTTCCAATCACCGTGTGTGGTGGTGTCTGGTCGTCGGCATCAGCAGCAGCAGTGCTTTCGGTGAGCGGCGTTGAAAATTGTTCTCCAGTACACAACGAAAGGCTCCCTGAGCAGCTAGTTATCAAGGCTGCCCCAACTACCCAACTAAAATTCATATCAAAAGGTTCTTTTCAGGGCAATCATAGCCAATACTGAAGATTACAAACAGAGAGAACTTCGCTCAAATTCCTATTCCTACACAAAACACAAGCTACTGCTGCAGTTAACAAATTCAATTTATTATATAAGATCACTTAGTCCTACGTCACCATTGCGTACAACCCCATAGGGTTGTCCGTTGTAGTTTTTTTTTTTTTAACAAATATTGATTTCATAATTACAAAAAGTAATTGTTTATAGCAAGAGAGTGGAAGCAACCCTGCTTTTAATATGATTGCTTATTGATTAATATGATTCTGTAAATCTTGCGTGTTAAGTTTGAGATTATGCGGGAGGTTTTTACATAAATTTCTAACTTGTAGGGGAAATGGCTCTAATGTTGGCCTATGGATCTGAGATTGGGCCCATAGTTAAAATCCTGCTATTTATCAATGTATCTAGATGAACGCGTCATTGAGACGGTAGTAATGGATATTTTTGGTCGTTATTTAAAATTGAGTCGATTGCTGAATTTATGTATGGACCCAGAATGGGGGCATTTAGGCCGGCATGGCATTACATCCATTTCCCCTATTTACAGATTGCTGTATCGGAAAAAAAAATCTGTGTATGTGGCATCACTGCCCAGCATCCCGAAGACCTAATGGCGGTAAGCTCCATCCCGGATCAACTTTTAATACCGAACTTGTTTGATTGATCTGTCAAATGTATGCATAAAGTCGTGTCGATTACTACTAATGCCGACATGAACGCATCTGGACATTCTTGATCAGGATTTAAATCGACGATCATACCGGTTGTAGCTTACCGCCATAAGACGAAAAGAGAACGGACCATTTGTATCGGTAGAGAATGAAAGATCATGTTTTGATTTTCATTTGCACGGAAAAACGAGTCTATGCATTAATGACTCTTTTTTTAACCACTTTTAGAAGTTGTTCGAGCTGTCATAAAGTGGTTAAAATTTATAGCAGGAAAGTGTATACAATTCAGTGCTAACATTTGAAAACGGCACAAAAGCCATTTGTAAACAAATGGTTTGTGGGCCCTTTACTCACTACTTGAAGTACACCCACGCGACACAACAGCAACATCGGGTAGGGGAAATTTTCCCCTTCCTGACGATGCTGTTGGTTTGCGTGGGCGTTCTTCGGGTAGCGAGTAAAGGGCTCACAAACCATTTGTTTACAAATGGCTTTTGTGCCGTTTTCAAATGTTAGCACTGAATTAAGACATTTTCTGAGAAAACCATTCTTCAACAGAAGTATCTTAATTTTATTCACTAGTGGCTGAAAAAAACACTTGTCAATTTATTTTCTGCAAGCATGGCGGCTATCATTGACAAACTTCGTCGCAGGTTAGTTCAAGGGTAAAATGCATGTAGTAATTATAGACAAATAATGTTAATAAACAATTTAGAATTATAATTTTCTTTCTATTTTCAGCATTTTCATGGTGCGGTAGCCCACCAACAACAATTATAAACGTAAGCATTTCCCTTTTGTTTTGTATTTCACTATCTAGATAATGAAAATGTCTCAATCAGCAGTTCATCAGTTCCTTACGGACAAGTACAGGCCGTGCCGGCGATTGACACCAAGAACTACATCGAGTACACGAAGAATACGAAGTTTATCGGTTGGTTCCGGAGATGCTCCGCTGTCAATCAATCGACTTGTTGGACCGGAAGATGATGGCGGAAGGTAAGATGGTAGGTATATCTATAGATTGTTCAAGTCCTGTAAATAATCCAACCTCTTCCACAGCAGCCCGCAGACGCCTCCGAAATCACACAACCAACGAGATACATCCCCATCGCAATCGATGATTCAGCTCTTACAACACAGGTTAACAGCAATCCGACGTGACCAAAATCCGATATGGCCAACATCCTGTCGGCATTCATCAACAATCTTGCCCAGCGCTTGCCAATGACATCGGATGTAATCTTTATTAATTTATTTTTTTATTTTTTATTAGTTTAAGATATTGAAAATAAAAGGTAAACATACAAAACATTCCAGTGTATAAGTACTAACCACTTTCGAGAAAAACGTCTTTATTCATTAATGATTAAAATATAACCACTACCAAGAAAAACGCGTTTATTCATCCGATGAGTAAACAGCGTTTATTCATTTTATGAATATGTGCGGGTTTTCTCGAAAGTGGTTAATTTTTAAACATTAATGCATACCTTTTTCTTAGCGTGTGCTTTCTGGAGAGTGTTTGCGTAGGGTTTCTGTGAGATTGAGTTCCATGGATCGTGAGAGTGAGAATTGTATTTTGTTCTAGGGTGTTTCTATTTTATGGCGTTTGAATTATTAGATTGAGATAAAATAAAAATCTTCGTTTCAATATTTTTGTTTTGCGTTGTCACGTTTGATCACGTGTTTATTTTTGAAGTTTTTGTTAATGACCAAATTTGCTACGTTGAAACTAACCCCAATGTCCTACGACTAAAACAATTAATTCGACAGTGAGCATGCATAAGGGCCTATACGCGATGATCGATTCTCTTCGTCGATTTTCTCTTTTGATAATAACTCGCTAGATTTAACGTTTCTCGGTGCGTTTGCTGTTGCTTTCGATAGCCAATACAACCTGTTACTACTCTGCATTGAACAAATTCTAGAAAATTGTTTCGCCTAGCTGTGGCAACCCGCATAAACGCGAACCATCACATGACCTTACCGATAATGGTTATAAATTGTTTATAATCCCTGCTAAACTTCAACTGAAATGGTTATGGAACTTTACATGAACGTTTGTGTGATAAAGTTTTAACCTTATGTATTATGGTTTTTTGGAAGCGGACCTTACAAATAATGGGTTGTTAAGAACCATTACCATTCCAAATTCTTGTTTTCTCCATACATTATCGGAAAGAGAACTATATTAGAACGTTTTTACTTATGGTTTGAGAACATTAATGGTTATGGTTATGGTAGTCAGTAAGGTCCATTAATGGTTTTGTATTATCGCTCAACTTTACGTGAAATATATCGTGAATTGGTAATCAGTAATTTGCAGGCAACCAATTCGCGATATATTCCACATAAAGTTGATCGATGTTACAAAACCATTCATGGACCTTACTGCTTACCATAACCATTACCATTAATGTTCTCAAACCATAAGTTAAAAGGTTTTAGTATAGTTTTCTTTGCGAAAATGTATGGAGAAAACAAGAATTTTGAATGGTAATGGTTCTTAACAACCCATTATTTGTAAGGTCCACTTCCAAAAAACTATAATACTTAAGGTTAAAACTTTATCATTAAACGTTCATGTAAAGTTCCATAACCATTTCAGTTGAAGTTTAGCAGGGATTATAAACAATTTATAACCATTTTAGGTAAGGTCAATTTATGGTTCTCGCTTATGCGGGAATGCAAAGAGAAAATCGATGAAGAGAATCGATCATCGCGTATTCGCCCTTATGAATGCTCACTGTCGAATTATTTATCACCAATTACCCGTTTTATAACAAAGCTGTAAGAGAGCCACCCTGACTCCCATAAAAAAACAGTCGTTTGATTTGCTGAGAGAGAAAGAGCGAACTGTCAAATTATGTTTTGGATTGTGTTGTATATTCTGATGAGTAATCATCGCACAAAGTCTTATCGTGATAACACACTCTTTGTTGAAACGTGAAAAATTCAAGAAAATGGTAACAAGTTAACTTTATTTGTACACAATACTGTCTTCATATAATCCTTCCTTGCAGCATGGTCGCCTGAAAGTTCGCACCAGTGCCGAGGAAGCTGCCCGGAAGCAGAAGGAACGCGAGCAAAAGGCAAAGGCCTTCCGCGCTGGAATGGGCCGAATTCTGTTGAAGAAAGTGACCGACGAACTGGATGACGAAATGATGCAGCTAACCGGGAAGATCCTGTCCGCGAATCCGGACATAGCTACGCTGTGGAACCTTCGGAGACGCTGTATTTTGAAGTTTGCCGAATCCGATGGGTGAGTGAATTGTGTTCGTGTAAAGTCCCAAGTACCCAACGCATGTTCTTCTTTAAGGGAGAACCAAAAATTGTTTGAAGACGATTTAAGATTTACGGAAATGTGCCTACAGGTGAATCCAAAATCGTACTGCGCTTGGCACCATCGCTGCTGGTGCTTGGAAAACTGTCCTTCCCCCGATTGGCAGAAGGAAGTCGACTTGTGCATCAAATATCTGAAATTCGATGAAAGAAATTGTGAGTAGCACTCGCTGTAGACCGTTCTTTTCGCCTTTAAGTGTTGGTTTTGTTTTAGTTCACTGCTGGGATTACAGGCGCTACGTGACGGAAAAGGCGAATGTCCCTCTGAGCAAGGAGCTGGAATTTTGCACGGAGAAAATACAGAACAACTTCTCCAACTATTCCTCCTGGCACTACCGAAGCAAGCTACTTCCAATTCTCTATCCGAGCAAAGAAGACCCTTCACGACCAATCAACGAGGAGCGTTTGCTTGAAGAGCTGGAACTAGTTCTGACGGCAGCATTTACCGATCCTAACGATAGCAGTGCATGGTTCTATCAACGTTGGCTTCTGGGCTATTCCCGTCCGGAGTTGGACATTGCTGCTTTTAGAGTAGATGTAAGTCGAAAGCTAGCAACTGTTGCATTTACTCGACCTGTGAATTTGAAACACGAAAAAACTAAGCTCAGCTTCAGCTTTAGCAATCAATTAGGAGAAGACAACTGGCAATCTGCTTCGCCCGACGATAGCTACAGCATTACGTGGTTTCTCAAGGACTTCGAGCTGGAATTGGCGGATCAGCCAACTTATTCTGTAACATTCACCGATGAAGATGGCAAATCCTACTCGCTGGAAGCTCAAAAACTATCCCATCAATGTTTAATAGCCATCCGGAAGCCTAAGTGCGGATACGAATTCGGCACTGCAGTTCTTGACGTATTGAAAGCTCAACTTGCCAACTGCGAGCAGTTATTGGAATACGAACCGGACAGCAAGTGGACACTTCTCACGGCATCCCTGTTAATGAAGGCCGTCGATCGCACTGGGAACCACGCTAGGATCTTGCAGCATTTGGAAAAGCTACAAATCGTAGACCCGATGCGGATGGGCTACTACCAGGACATGATGAACAAGTGGAGCGTTGAGTTGAGATTGGAACGGTGGCTTGATGGGGAAAAGCCGCTGGAAAAGTTGGATTTGAGTGAGCTGAAGTTAAATCGGTTGGCCTATGAACAGTATCTGGCAGTGGTGGACGAGATCGATCTGAGTGGCAACGAACTGTTGGAGCAAAGCTTGCAAAAGTGCTGCCATTTGGTGTTTTGTCGAAAGCTCTCGCTGGTGGGTAATCCCACTTTGCCGAAGGAGATAGAAACGACCGTCAAGCAGTTCTGTGTGAGCCTGGAGACGCTGAAACTAGTCGAGTAAAGTTTGAGATATTCGGTTTGAGTTTAGGTGGATAGTGATTAATATACAAAGGGGGACTTTTTTGCATGCTTTTAAGCCGCTTGCTTGCAATGTGACGGAAACAGGAATACACGCATATTAGCCAACATTCAACAGTTTTGCTGGAAGTGGAATCCGAAATCCATTAATCATTGAGCGAAAGGTTAGAAAACTAGTCAAGTTTAGTCCACTTTCGCGTATTACGTATACGTTTACGCAAGGTATACGTTACTACCTTGAACAATCTGGATAAACCGGGAATATCCAGGGAATTCAATTTTAGCTCGTAAAGCCTGAATATATAAGTCCGCCAAAGGATTTCAAAACGTTTTATACAACAACCAACTTTATTTTCCTCGTTATTCACTTTTACTCATTGAACGGTAATGATTCTGGAGTGGATTTAAGTTCAGTGACAAAATACATTATAAAACATGGTTTTATATAGTTGACGATGCTAATTTCAAATAACAGACTGGTCATTTTTATACGATAGATGAGGAGAAGAAAGAATAGAGTTGATAGTTCCGTTAGAGTACGGCAGTGTGAAAATTTTATTTAGAGAGTAGAAAGCGATCAAGGACAACTTTGAGGACGGTACAAATCGGGTTGATCATATCTCTTTACCAAACCCTATCGTATTATATATAAATATATATAATAAAAGTAAATGTTAAAGGAATACTTAGCAAAGAAGAGTTGCTTGAGAATTCTGAGGATCATTTTATAGAATTTACGGGACTTCTTCAAGCAAATTCTGTGTGGAGTTTAGAGGAATTTCTGAATATAATTCCTTGGCAATTTTAGGCGAATAGCTTATGAAGAGAATTCTTTGGAGAATTCCTAGGTAATACAGCGAACTCAATACATAATTTTTAGAGGGTTTCAGAGTGAATGAAATAGCTGTCTATAGAGAAATTCTAGAGTATTATGGAGGTTCTTTAATTTTGAAAAATGTATCGTTTTTTATCCATCATCTGAAAGTGCTTCGTTTTCTGAGCACAGTGATATTTTTTTTCGGACCCACACACTTTCATCTCGATTTTTAAGTTAAGATTTAAAGCAAAATAACAACTTCACTGTTTGACACTAAACTAACAAACTGACAGCACGATCCCATACAAAGTGGCACAGAGGGGCGCTAATAAGGTGATTTTTGTAAATGTAATCGTACTTATTTAAAATAGTTCCAGTGTACCAAAATTGATGACATTTTGGGTTTGGGTTCCATTTTTAATCCAGATTACGAATATGCAAAAACATCAATACCCCTAAACAATTCCATTGATAAATTTGAAATGATATAAGATTTTTTATTTTTATTTTTGTTTTCTTACACTTAGTAATAAAGCTATAAATCGACCTTAGTAACAAACTGCATTGATAAATTTTCTAAAGTTTATGATTTTTTTTATTTTTTTGATTTCATTGACTTAGTACACAGCAATAAAAAAATGTAATATCGATCAACGTAATTCAAGCTGATGTATGAAATAATGATGTTATAGCAAAAAGCAGATACAATATTACATCAATGGACGTAATTTTGTTCGCAAAATCGATGTACATTGTCCAACGTAATATTACATAACCGTCGTAATGATCTCTGTGCAGCTGTTTGGATGTAATATTCAACAAATTTTTTTCTGTGTAATAAGAGTACTACGAAAGGCCGAATCACAGAAGGCCGAATTACAAAAGGCCGAATCACAAAAGGCCGAAAAAGCTCGGGAAAGCAATAAAGTAGACCAGTTCACTTTGTTGCTTTACCGATTCTAGCTTTTGTTAATTTGTTTCAATAAATTAAATTACATTATTAAAGTTATAATAACTATTATTCTGCATCTTCGAAATAAAATATAATGGAAGCTACTATCAATGCGGTTTCCGTAATTAAAATTATAAAAAAAAACTTAAAATTTGGTTAGCTTTAGTTTTACGTTTGTTTGAGTGTTTATTTACAAGTTGGCTTCGTTTTTTTTTTATGAATGCGGACAATTCACCGAGGAGACTTATTAGTTGTAAGAGCAGAAACGCTTCAGATGCTGAATGAGAGAGAAAGTGATAGTTAGCTTTACTTTTCCAGATGTTTGAGTGTTCAATGACGATGATGGATTCGTTCAAGATAAAATTCAATATGGGAGGTATTCTCAAATCGAAAATCGTCTTTAGAAGCGATATTGCTTTTTGTCCGTTATGCTGAACGTTCTAGTTACAAGGGGTTATTCCGAGAGTCGAAGTGACTTTTGTCACTACCCAACTAACAATTTTCACAATGTAAACGCTTTATTCATTTCATTTATACAGCCTCAAGCTGTATTCCAACGTTATACGATATGAGACAACCTTTACTCAACCTCTATACAAGCAAATCTGGCGAACTTAATCAGCTACTTATGGCTGTTGGGACGGTTGGGATAAGCTCTTATTGAATATCCATTTACGCTTCTATACAGCTGTTATTCTGCTGTTTAGTTGTTTGTGAACTTGAATGGCGCTTATTCAAACCTTTTCCCGGTTATCCAATAATCACTACACAACTTTCTGTTGAAGCCGGTTTAAATATTGTTTGCGCTGTTTTTGTTGGAGGAATTTATTGAGTTTATTTTGCTGTGAGAATCAAATTAATCGAAATTAGTTACAAGCACACCACCAAATTATTTACCGTGCACCGGAACCTGGAATCGAACTCGAGACGACCGCATTAGCAAAACCTTGACACTATCAACTTCGCTACGCCAACACTTTGAATTGACGTAAACAAATATACATGACTTTCTACAATAATACAGTCAAGTAGAGGCTCCATAATAGTGCACATGAATCACTTTTCTCGACTAGTTACTTCAGCTTTGTAAAAGAGCAGAGTAAAAGCAGTAAAACTTCACACGTCTAAAAATAAACCAAGTACAAATGCTTCCAAAGTAGCGCTACCCAACTAACATTTTCAGCTTTGTAAGCCAACTTTTCCAGCGTTGTACTGTAAAGTAGCTGAAAAGAAGCTGCAGATACAGCTACAAGCAAAAGCTAACAAAATAGTTTTGGAGAGCGTTTACTCAACTTTCTCACAACCATTATTCAATTTGTCAGTCGCACTAAATAACATCAGCCAATAAACGCTAATGTCACTTCTATACACACACTAATCAACTTTCAACTTGTAGCTGCAAAACAAAGCTAACAAAGTGAATATATTACTCATTTGATGGCTTCTAAACAACCAACCACTCTTGCTGAATAACATATACATCAAAAGTGCTTTTTCAACAACTAAACAGCCTTTACTCAGCTTATAAACTGTGTTAGAGCAACTTCGGAAGCATTTTCACAGTCAACTAGGTTTATTTTTAGACGTGTGCAGTTTTACAGCTTTTACTCTGCTCTTTTATAACTAGTCGAGAAAAGTGATTCATGTGCACTATTATAAAGCCTCAGTGATTTTGTTGTAGAAGCGAATGTTGATTTGTTTACATAAGTTCAAAGTGTTGGCGTAGCACAGTTGGTAGTGTCAAGGTTTACCAATGAGGTCGTCTCGAGTTCGATTCCAGGTTCCGGTGCCGGGTAAATAATTTGGTGATGATTTGTAACTAATTTCGATTAATTTGATTCACAGCTAAATAAACTCAATAAATTCCTTCATAAAAAAGCGTAAGCAGTATTTAACCCGGCTTCAAGAGAAAGCTGTATAGTGATTATTGGATAACCGGGAAAAGGTTGAATAAGCGCCTATCAAGTTCACACACAACTAAACAGCATGATAACAGCTGTATAGAAGCGTTAATGGGTATGCAATAAGAGCTTCTCCCAACATTTCCAACAGCCATAAAATTTTTTTTTATAATTACTTTATTTGTACAGGCTCAATCGAATAAACTTTACAGAGCCGAGTTATCCTTTGCGTTATACATTATTACCATAGAGGTAACTCTAAGACCACTGGGTCCCGAAGAAAATCATTATTATTTTTGGCTCACTCAGTACCAGAACAACAGTCCCAAGCAGTCCCAAGCTATTTCACTCACCCCTGCATGTTCTGCATGAATCCACACACCCCTGATGTTATCTGTCAAACTTTCATAGCGAATCAAAACAAACATAGTGTAGTAATAGAATTTCAACTAGAATAGGGTACGTTAATCGTTTGCTTGGGACCAATAGGCTACTAAAGTGGTGAGCCAATTTAAAATCGTTAGTTTCGTATTGATTGTTGTTATTACTGTCTTAAATTTAAAGTTAAAGGAACTGGACCGAGTACTCGCGGTTGTCTCGAGGTTAGTGGAACAGCCATAAGTAGCTGAGTAAGTTCGCCAGATTTGCTTGTATAGAGGTTGAGTAAAGGTTTCTTCATATCGTATAACGTTTGAATACAGCTTGAGGCTGTATAAATGAAATGAGTAAAGCGTTTACGTTGTGAAAATTGTTAGTTGGATAACACAGTTTATTAGTTGAGTACAGGTTGTTTAGTTTAATAAAAGCACTTTTGATGTATATGTTATTCAGCAAGAGTGGTTGGTTGTATAGAAGCCATAAAATGAGTAATATATTCACTTTATTAGCTTTGTTTTGCAGCTACAAGTTGAAAGTCGATTAATATTTGCATAGAAGTGGCATTAGCGTTTATTGGCTGCTGTTATTCAGTGCGACTGACAAATTGAATAATGGTTGTGAAAATGTTGAGTAAACGCTCTCCAAAACTATTTTGCCAGCTTCTGCTTGTAGCTGTATTTGCAGTTTTTTTTCAGCTGAAGCTGAAAATGTTAGTTGGGTAGTGAAGTGAGAAAAGTCACGTCGTGGTGACCTGACTTTTTGTGCAAATCAAATGGAGAGTCACGTCACCACGACGTGTTTTTTCTCACTGCACTAGTGACAAAAGTCACTTTGACTCTCGGAATAACTCCCACACACATTCAACTGCTTGCGCAACTCGCTACCCAATTAGAATGTTGTGTATGCGTAAATACACCGTTCACCTCTATTGCATCCCTCATTTCCTTACCATTCTCTCACCCGCTGCTTACCACTTACTGGTTTTTCCTAAAAAGTCAGCAAGTAAGAACACCTCTATATCTAATTTCATCTTGGCT